TGTGTGTGTGTGTGTGTGTGTGTGTGTGTGTCCAGCACATTTTAAAGTAGTCTTTTACTTCTCTAGTTGGCAACCAAGTCTCTTGGTATCTTCTTCCTGGGTAGATGCTTGTTTTACAGCACCATCTATCTGAACATTATTTTAGTAACACCCATCGCTATAGCATCTGAGTGAGCACTTCCCATCTTAAACCAGTAGCAGAAAGTCCTTAGCTGACCAACCATGCTCTCCAGACACTGTGACAAAATCTAACACACAGTTACAGTACTGCACACAAATTTTGCTTCAGTCCATTTGTGCAAGATAGTGTGCCATTATAGGGAACCAGGTTTACAATATTGTTTTTATTTCTAGTACCTTTCATTAGAGTCTATCAAAGCTTTTCATATAAGAAGTAAGGCGGTTAACATCCCTGTGAAGTGGACATTATAACACCCATTGTACGTATAGAGGAAACAGTAGCACTGATGTGCACAACAAATTCCTCAATGTCAGCATGCATTAAGCAAAGGATGTACATTTTTATTTCCAAATAATATTTTTGTTCTTGTGTCTGCTAAAATCCCCTGTGAAGTTTGCAGTATATTTCAGAGGGAGGATATCTGGGACCATCAGGTGATACTGGCCCATCCCCTAGGAGTATTTATTGATCCAGCTAAAATTAGTTAAAGTTTTCACCTCTTCTTTTCCTTCTCCAGGAGGGGATGCAGTGGATGCTGGCTATGCACAGGACAGCTCTGATGACAACCAGAGCTGGACATGTGCCCCGTCCATGGTATCAGATGCATCATTTCCATCAGATTACCAGGACGATGGTAAGTGACTTCTGACTATGAAATATTTTCAGTATTGTATTTGGAGATGTACTGTATTTTTCCCTGGCCTGCTGTCATTTCTGTTTTTGTTATGCTTCCCATGTTGAAGTTATGCTTTCTGTCCAGCTTATGCTTTGTGTTGAGGACTAATTGTTGTATTTACCAGGGCAAGTTCTCATAAACTGAATAACTCTAACGCTAAAGAGACAAATCTGCATCTGTGGTGTAAGTGTAAATTGTACTGATTCATTTTACTCTGGATTTATGGTGAAACAGCAAACTTTGGTCAAATGGCCAGTTTTTGAAAGTGGTTCTTGGGTATCAAACTCAAAACACCTAAGGGGACCTAATTTTCAGAAAGGGCTGAACTTCCACCCTCTGAAAAAAGGACCCCTTCAGTTTGGGCACTGGAGTAATTAATAGTTATTTGAATATCTTTTTCTTCCCAAGGAAACACAGATGCTGTAGATTTGGGTTTAGGAACAGGCAGAAGATGTACTCTGTGGTCATTTGAAGGCTCTTGAAGCATTAGTAGATCCTTGCTGTTTTGCACTGGGCCATCCCGGGTGTAAAAGTATCTATAACACTTGCCTCCACTTGCAACTGGTAGCCCAGCAGTGACAGGTGTATGACCCACTGCTGAAATCCAAACATTCCATGGTACAGTTCACAAATTAAGAGAAATGGGGTTTTATTTGGTATGGGATCATATCACTGGTAATATCTGTGATTATTAAGTTATCTTCCTTGCAAAGTGTGGTATGCAGTGTATACCTGCAACTTGTACTGATTCGTGTTATAAAATAAATGGCTTTGTAACACACAAGGTTGATCTGGTAGCTGGTCACTAATTGCAGCGTGTGAAAAGAGTTAGGTGTTGTTAATTGGTTCTTTTAAGAAACTCTTTCCCTTTAGATATGACACTTATACAGTGGGTGGATGGAGAGAAGATGACACGGATAATGGATATTAGACTAAACGAACATCAAGTGCTGAAGACCAGAGGCATGGTCTCATGGCACAAATGATGTCTCTCTGAAATCCCATGGTTATGACATGAATGATGTTTTTATGAAGTCCCATGGTTCCTCCATGCCTGTTTAAGCTTGTCCAAGAAGATATTTGCTTTGCTAACTTAGAATGGTGATTTTTGGCAGCCATAAAGGGCATAATGTGAAATAATGCTCTTGGGGTATGTAAATGTTTGGCACCACTGGAAGCTTTCAGACAGAGATGAAAACTGCAGACTTGATGGAGGGATACCCAGGTGGAGAATGGCAAGCAAATTGATTTATATATTTTTTTCATATTGGCAATGAGACCAAAACTAACTGCTGCAACATTAAATGAGTTATAGGTTCTTGAAGAGCAGCAGCAAGTAGTCTAGAAGAAGTAAAGCTGGTTTTATATTTTTGGATAAGAAATGGAGCATTTTTTAATTTTTACCTTTGGACATAATTGATTGGATGTGGACCCTGGCATGCAGACTGCTAGTGGCATTATCTGTAAATAAGTGAACACTCAAGGTACCACTAAGCATCCCTCCTCATCCTTTCACTGAGTGACCAAAAAGGACTCTATGATGATTGATTCTTCCAGACACATCCTGAGGAAATAAATGGATGAGGGTTACTAGCTTGTCTAAGTAGCAGTACTTCACAACATTGCCAAAATGTCCCTCTATTAATATTGTCGAGGGCCCTCCTTTTAGATAAATACAAACTTTGTATAATTATTTGTAATATCCAAATTCCTTTTTCTGGATCTGGAAGAGAAGAAAGATGATATTGGCAGTGCTACATCCTGCTTTAAAACCACACCAACTCCTCTGGCTGTATTTGCCATTCCTAATAAGATCCAGGCTAGTAGGACTTCTGATAGATTTGTTAAGGATAGATCCCATGGTTGCCTCTTTGTATTCTGACCTCAGATGGATATGAAGATGGCTTAAAGACTTTTTGGTCATGTGTGCCATTACCATAATGAAGATTGTCAGAGGACAATACCTTCAAGGACTGGTGGTGAAGGGCATCTTTTGATCCATGGCTGAATTACTAGACTTCCTGTTGCTTCTGTCTTAAGTTAAAATAATAAGTTTTGGGATTCTCTTTGTCTTGTGCCACTTGACCCCTGGTTGTGTGGTCAAGCATATTAGAATGCTGGACTGTTACTCTGGGTTCTTGTCCCATTCTGGACACTAACCTGCTCAGTAGTTTAGGGCCAGTTGCTTCAGATGGACTTACCCCGTCCTCTTTTCTTCCCGTTGCCCCTCCAAATTCTATTAGATTCCAATGGGATTTGTCTGCACAGATGCTTGGGAGAATTAAGGTGAAAAATGTGAAGTCAATGCACATAAGTTAAAGCACGTTAATCCTTGGAGAAGAATTAAGCCATGGTGAATTAAGGCCACTTTACTGCTGAATGAGAACATCCACATGGGAGTTGAGTGTGCTTTGACGTGCATGTATTGGTCTCTTGCCTTTTTCATTCTCCCTTGCTTCTTGGAGGGTTCCCGTGGAGAATATGGCTGCATGCCATTAACTTCCTAAGTCTCTCTGGAGAATGGTACTTGGGCACTTTTGGAAATTGCACCCTTTGTTAATCTCTGCTTCTCTTCCCTCCTACACTTTGTCTGTCTTGTCACTTTAGACTACAGGCTCTTCGGGGCAGGGAGTCTGTCTCTACAGCATGTGACGGGGCCCTATTTTTGTTGAGGCCCGTAAGTGCTACTGTAATACAAAATAAGTGAACAAAGCTACTTTCTGGCCTAGAGGGCAGATGGTTCATGCTTGGAAAGAGTTAACTCAACTTCAGTAAAAAACAGACTTTCTTTAGGAGGCTCTGAACTGTCTGTTTGACTAGAACCATCCTTGTCTTGGTGACTTCGCCGACATTCTGTGCTGTGGTAGGTGCTGCATTCCTTCTAGCCCTGCGTTGCGTGGTTTTTTTAGTGGCACAATCCCGCAGTGGACTAAAGACCACTGCATCCCATCCTTCTGTTTTGAGGCTGAACCAGAAGATTTAATGGAAGAGAAGTCTTTGTTTTAAGGATGATATTTGCTTTCTCTGTTTCCATTAAAAAATAGAGATGGCATTGAGGAAATGCTTGTATTTCATTTTTATTTTGAGGCGTCTTTTCCTCACTTCTGTCAAAGTTTCCCAGGGAACCTTTTAAACTTCTGTATTCTCTGACAGGGAGTGTGATAGGGGAAGCAATTCTGCAAGTTAGGGATGACTTTATTCAATGAGCCACGACAGTGTTATATAGGATCATCCCTAATGAGTGATTAAGAAGCTAATGTTTGTACAGCGCTCGGAGGCTGTGAAGCACTATATAAGTGCTAAGTACTATTATAATGATAAGTATTTCTGATGAGACACTTCCCGTGTAATGTATTCTGCTCATACCACTTTAAGGCTCTTTTTACATGTTTTCTTTTAAGACTTGTAGTTCACTTAATTTTCCAGTGTCCAGCAATTTAATTTTAAGTGTAAATTAGATGCCAAAGCTTTGAGGTATGCATTTGTTTCTTACAGATACTTAGCTCTTTTATATTGGGGTTTTCTCCCCTTAAGCTCAAGGCATTTTAAATGATGGGAGAAGCAACATTATCTTTTGTTGCAGAGATGGGGAAGCTGAGGCACGGGGGGAAGGGATGTAACACAGCCAAGGTCATACACTGAGTCACGTAACAGAGATAGGATATTAGAATTCGGTATTAATTCCAGTCCTGTGCCCTTATCAATTACCCTGCCTCTCATATCATCATGTTTTCATGTTCTGTTGTAATATAATGTTTTTGCTGAAATGCTAAGAGGAATATATGTATTGGGGTGTATATAACATGTATAATGGTAAAAATTGGTCCATAAATTCTACATGTTGGGTGAATTCTCTGCTGGGTTGAAAGAGGTCAAGGCTCCACTAATTTCAAAGTTTCAACCATTACTTAAACAGACAAATATGGGTCAACATTTACAACTTTTCTTTTCACTTATGCTTTTCTTAAATCATAGAGATTTTACAAATATTATATTTTTAGGTTCTGAAAAAGTTCACTGTGGCTTTTTGATTTTTTTTTTTTTTTTTTTTTTTAATTCCAACATAATAAAATTTGGCAGGTGAAATTATTTTTTTACTTTACCATGACTTCTCCTGGGATTTGGGGAAATGGAGGAAAAATAGAAATCTGAGGGGAATTTTTTAATGTTTATATTGTTATGAAGAATATGGTTCAGATACCAGCTCCTGCTAATAGACCTTTGCCTTTCATAGCATAAAGATTTGGCCCTGAAAATGAGCTCTTTCTTATTTTTATTGCAGCTGTGGCTACAGTCCCAACTGAGATTATGTTCCCCTGTGGGTACTGTACATTGACCTAGTAAAAGACTGTCCTTATCCTGAATAATTTACAATGTGAATAGACAGACAAATGATAGAAGGAGAAAGATGTACAGGCAGGGGAAGAGACTTGTCTGAAATAACATAGCGAGCAGGTCAGTGACAGAGTTGGTGACTAGAACCCTGGAATGGCATCCTAGATTCTGTCTTGTAGACCATACCACTGCTTAGGTACATGGGGGTCTACCAAGACCACACTCTTGGCAGGATCAGAGGCTAAATAGGCTATAGCTATGGAACTAAATAGCAATGCATACCGTGGCATCTAGCTACAAGTTCCTTTTCCTTTATCAGTCCATGACCCAGTTTTTCATTGGTGGCACTTATGCAATCCATTAGTGTACTGCAAGTGCACCTTTGCCACGCTTTGATTTTATGTATCACAAAGTATTGGAAATTGCATAAAAGGGTATTTCTCATTGTGGGTAGTCTCTATTATTCTTGCTGAGGGTTACCCTTCAAATCCAGTGGAGAACCTTTTATCTCCTCCAGCTATTTCTTAACTCTTTTCACATGTGATAGGCCTTCAGTTGAGCCTCTGCTCACAAGCTAATTTTATTTGGACTGAATATTCATGCTACAGGATTTTTTTTATTTT